GAACTGGCAATTTGTGCAAGTTGTTGATTAGTGAAGCATGCCAGCCCTCGCTGCAAAATTTCCTGCTTAATACACCTGAAAAGAGGTTTCACATTCAATCCAACTTCTGAAAATGACCAGAGGATAATAGTTAGTGACCTTTCCTCAAATTCAGTCAAATCACGTCTCAATATTTCTTCCCTCAAGACTGCAAAAAGCTTGGCACCTTTTTCCAGTGTCCGTGCATAAGACCACAAAAATTGGCAGATTTCCTTGACTTTAAAAGTAGACAAATCCCTCGCCATTATTTCATTCCTAATAATTTTGTAAAGGTGCTTTGCAAGGAACGGTGCTTTACCATAAGCCCAGAGAATCATTGCAAAGTCAGCATTTGTGAACAAAGTGGGATCACGACTCTTGATTTCTCTTTCAAAGTGAATAAAATATGAAACATCATTGAGTCCAAGCGCTGCTAAAAATGCGAACCGACTAAACAGCGCCCGACTTGAGCTGATAGAACAGCTAAGTTCTCATGATCGACGTTTGTCTCTTTCTTCAAGGGGTTGTATATCTCAAGCAACTCATCGGGGTCTGTTTTCTTCTGTATTTGTCGCACAATGTTGAAAGAACTCGCGAGCTGATCTTGCTTGGATTTCACTCTCTTTTTCTTCTGTAGATCTTCCAACATCTCCAGCAAATGTCCATGTAACTGCCTAAAGGCGTGAAGAGTTCGTGCTTGGATGAAAGGAATAAGCGAAGTAACGGTGTTTTTAAGCAAAAATCCTCCACACGAGCTCCGGCACGAGCTTGAACTCGTAGCCGTTGAGCTCAGTTTATGCCCATCAGTCAGTGAACGTATCCTCGTGACAAACAAGTTTTAATGTCGAACTTGGCATACTGGCGTGCTTCCTCGTTGAAAATAATTCAGGTGAGGCAAATAATTCCGCAGCATCTGCGCTCTTTCTTTTAGCACTTTTTTACACATCACGCCGCCATGTTGTAAAAAATACCAGGATTGCATTATGGGATATATTCCGTGACCACAGGTAGCCTAGGGCCCAGTTCCCAGTTGTCCCAAAGTTTAAAAAGGCTACCATTATCCGTTGGCTAAATCTTTATCCAGCTGATTCAGTGGATAACCCAGTTAGTTTCCCTAATATTTCCCTACATAGAGATTTATCCAGTGTATAATCGTATCCAGCGTTTGAACAACAGGCCGGGGCAAGAGTTATAAATGAATATTGTATACTGTCTATTCATTTGTCGGCCTGGTTAATTTTCAACGGAATTTTTCTCTGTTTAACTCTCAGTCGAATATCGTCGACTTTAGCTCTGATCCTCCTTTGTCGCTTTATAATGTATTGTTATTGACATACAGTAAGTCCGTGCTGCCTGTGACATTAGGGAACTTAAGAACCACGACAAAGTTCACGACGACGACGTCTGTTGACTGGGAAAGGACTGGAACGAGAACGTCAGTTTCGGCGGGAAAAAGGAAACTTAAGATGCAGTCGATCGGTAGGTCGACGACGACGACACTGAATGTAAACAAACATGTAGAAGTAGTACAACTGTGATGTTCGTTCGCAACAAAGTTTTTTCGGAAAGGCGTCTTTTAAGACGATGCAAGATCTTATTTTATAAGCCGTACGTCTACTTTCATTGACGATGAAGAATTTTTAGTGTTGTCTGACCTTTTCGAATGGAAAAATCTCTGCTTTCCGCACAAAGGTTATTCATCTTTCAACCTGAATGACATGACCGCGTCCGAGTGTATGTCAGAGTTTAGATTTGGAAAAAGAGACATTCCGATGCGATAGCTGTTTTCCATATAAAGTTCATTTCCTCTATATTAAAGATATATGATTTGCCTGACCTAAATACGTACAAATAAATTTGTCATTTACGAGTTCGCTCGCTCGGCCTCCACAGCTGTTGTCATTCTTCGAAGTAAACACAATTCATCCGTCAAATTTTCAATCAACATCGCTTGTGAGGAGAAAAAAGAAAGGATACCTGGATTTACGAGGTGAAAAAATACAAAGCCCTTAAAAAATCGCTTAAAAACGGGGAGTTATACCTGCCGAAGCTTGTGGATTGCAGGACGACGTGATTCTACTGTGTTTGGCGTCGTCGACGACACCACGACGACGAAATTTGTTAACCGCGCTTGCGCAGTGCACGGTATCTCACTTCCGGTCGTCGTCGACAAAGTCGTCGTCGTGGTTCTTAAGTTCCCTATTACCAGCATATTTTAAAGTGACTCAATTGCTTAACAGAATCGAACGCTGGGTCTAGTTATAATTAACACTCACCCATTACTTGGAGGTGCATGTGTAATCAGTGTGTAACACCAGTTCATTCCTCGTTTTGGTTGTTATACGGGAACTACAAGCCCTGACTTGCATACAACATCCTTGTAAATTGTTCTATGGGAAAACCAAACGGGAACAAAACTGTTTTACTTTATAAACTTTATTTGCTTTTGTTTTTGCTTTTTTACTAAAATTATATACCCTAAAAAAAAAATTATATACCTTAGTATCAGGTCCTCCTTAGGGGTTAGGGATCGGTCATTATTTATCGCCTGGAGGGAGGGAGGAAGGATTTGGGGCTAATCTAGGTGAAATTTAGCCGATCCCACCATTGAACGTTACCTCACTGAAGTGATCCCCCTAATAACTTTTGATGGCTTTCGCGATCCCCCCACCCGCCCATGTCTTCACTTCCCAAGCAAATTTGAGCGGTCCCACCTCTGAATCCTTCCAAAGTTTTCAGTGATCCCCCCTTTTGGGTTCTCAGTTACGTCTGATCCCCTCTTTTGTTCTCCTAAAAATCAAGTGATCCCGCTAAAATCCCCCGCCCTAGGCGATAAATAATGACCGGTCCCTTAATTAGAAGAGGGGAAATTTAAAAATGCAAGGAGGATATTGGGAGAAGAAAAGCCAGATTCTCAGGCAATAAAACAATATAAAACAAAAGAAGCAAGGCTGATTTTATAGTCGGGAATATATGTATATTTTTACCAATATTTCGGAAGGCACGGCCTTCCTTCTTCAGGGTCTTTCAGATAATGAAGAGGTTAAGCTAAGACGTTTCAATTTGAAATAAAGAATAGCGTGCAATTTGATATTATAATAACGCGTGAAAATTAAAATGAAAACAAAAACCGTTAAAGTAGTAATTGGAAAGAAATTTGAAATGTAAAAATAGTAAATAAATGATAACAAATAGAAGAAGTAAAGACTGTAGTCATACCTAATGGTTCAAGAGTTTTACCTCTCTCGATGAGGTATGCTTCTCTAGTTTTTCGCACACCGTCTCTGCTAGATTTAATGAGCTCTAGTGCAATTAAATGTGATGTCGTTAGCAGAGTGATCATTAGTAAGAAAGTGTTCTGAGACAGTGGTTTGTTTAGAGGTAGTAGATGGGTTGTCAACTGATCTGCGGTGTTCCGTTGAAGTGGTCTTTGAGTCGTCGTTTCCGACGTCGTTTAGTTTCACCTCTGCATTGTTTGGAGCAGTGGTTGCATTGTATCATGTAAATAACGTTTTTGGAGTTACAGTCAATGTGATTAGTGATAGGCCCGGTTTCGCCTGTAGCGTGGAATGTGCCGGGGGAGGAGGGGGTACTGCCATATACGGGCTATATAGGTATGTGCCGCTGTGAAGGCAATGGTTTTCAAGCAGTTTACTCTAGGATAGGGTATATAAATCAGAGCGTTTGGGTCTAGAATAGGGTATCAGTTTTTAGGAAACTGATCAGTTGGTTGAAGATTTTATCTAGACTAGGGATTGTGGTACAAGGTTTTGTTTTGGCTAGACTGTGCTAGTGACCTCAGTAGTTTCTGGAAAACAGCTACTCTAGGATAGGGGGGATTTGGGGAGTTTACTCTAGTATAGGGTAGCAAAATTCAGCTGAACTAGCTCTGGTATAGGTTAAGGGTTCCAGGGTCCCAGCGGCACATCCCCACCCAGAAATTCCTAAAGTGCCCCACGGAAGTTTGTCCGTCAGATATGTATTTACAAGGCGAGACAGTTTTTTCCGCACGGGTATGAGCCTCAGGGCTGGTTGTTTTGTGTGAGATTGCGAAGTTTCGGCCCTAACTAGAAAATCACTGAGGTTACTACTACGTCTATAAGCTACGATGGGTGCAGCGCCGTTATAGCAACAGGGGGGTGTGGGAGGGGGGGTATGAAATAAGGATGTGAAAGGGTTTGCGAATAATGGTGAGATAGAACGAAGGGCTGGGTTGTAGGTGATAACAAAGGGAACACGTTCTGGTTTGTCCAGTATGGAAGTTTCATGGGGCGTAAGTTCTTCTGTCCGTGTGATATTGTTAACTCGTATTTCCCATTGAAGGAAATAGCGCCGGTTATAGCCACGTTTGTAAAGATAGTCCATAAGTTCATTGGTGCGTAGTGTGAAGGTCTCGTTGGTCGAACAAATGCAGCGGAGTCTAAGAGCTAGACTGAAAGGAGTAGCGGCACGTTTGGTGTGTATGGCCGTTTTGGAAAATCCTCAAGTTCGGTGTTAATAGAGACAATATTGGACTAGATACAGCTATTCAAAGAGTTAAAGATTCACTAAGCAATGCATTATGGATTCTCTCTGTACGCGTATATATTTCTTTAATAATACCAATGCAAGTAAGTTTTTGGAATAGCTGTATCTCGTTGAATACCGTGCCCGATAAACGCCAAACTTGATTATTTTGCAGAGCCCGATGTGCTCTTTCTGACTATGAGGGTTTCATGTTGACAGTCCAATAACAAAATAACTTATACCCAATCTCTCTCGGTTTGAAATTAGGCTAGGTGGCTTGGAATCCAGAAATAAAAATTAACTTCCGCAATTATATGCAAATTCATGTTCTCGTGACCACTAATTAATTCGCGTGACAAATCATCGCATCCATGTCTGAAATGTCCACCATGTCTGTTTTAAGAATACCTCGATGTCCTCGATAAGGATGTGCCGACGGGAATACTTAATAGAAAAGGTATAGTCGTTGTTTTAAAATGTCTGAGTTTGAATATAACAATTTACTGTTCCAAATAAGCCAAAGACTCGACAACATAAACGCTGGCAAGCAATTACTTGTGATATGCAGAGGAAAGTTGGCGGCTCGTAATGAAGAAAGCATCCCTACCTTGCCGTTGTTTGAAGAATTAGAGGAGGGAGGATTTCTGAGTTTCGATCGTCTAACGGTATTGAAGGCCATTTTAGAAGGCGTCGAGGAATGGGCTCTTCTTGAAAAGGTTGAAAAGTTTGCGTGCAAAAGAAAGGAATACAACAACTTGCTTGAGCAGATTATACGAGTACTCGACGAGCTTAATGATCTCGAACGACTCATTTCGATTTGCCGAGGAAACATTACAGAAGGAAGACGAGCGAGCATCCACGATGTTAGGTCATTGTTCAAGGAGTTAGAAAGCAACGACTGTCTTGGAATCGACTGCCTCGAAATCGTGAAGGAGATTTTGACCCAGACGGAAAAAACCGATCTGCTGAAGGAAGTGGAAGAGTTTGAGCAACGACAAAGTCGTGAAAGGCGAAAAGGTATTTCTCTACGCCCGTTGTGTTACAATTTCATTTCTTCCCCTCATAATATCGTTGTATAAGAATTTGTGGATAACCGTGTTTGCGCAAACCTAAGCCCCGTTTAACATGGTTTTTAAAGTCTGAATTTTGAACGTTTCACTTCAGCGATAGCAGCTGCCATGGGATCGTCACCTTTCGACAAACTGGTGGGAGGTAAGATATTTTAAAATTTAGTTTCGCTCATATATACATTTCCCCGTTCTGAGACGGCCTCGACAGTCTTTACCTACTTGGGTTTACGGGACATCCTTTCTGTAAAGGCATGCTAACCTACAATAAGGGTTCACTCTTAAACGAAACCCTCAGCGTTTCTATAGCATAAACAACTAGACTCGCAATAGGCGACTTCACTGGGCTGCGCGGCATAAAACCTGTGTTGCACGCGAGAAGTTTTCGAGAACAGAGAGTAAACAGCTTATTAAAGGAATAAACCCATTAAACCTATCCCGATTGATCCACGGGCCTCATTCAACCGACTGCATCAAACGGTCGATAACACAATTTTTTTAATACCGTAATATGAGTTAAGATTCGCTATTTTTCTCAGTCGCGTGAGTGACTAAAGACTGAACTAAGCGCACCATGAAATTCAGTAGCTCGTGACCTTGTTTTGATCTGGGTCATAATGTGATTACACGATCTTAAATTGTTTTCTGTTCAAGAGATTTATCTCGATGCAGAATGATCGCCCATTACATTATTTGAAATCCTATGGTTCATTCATATAATACTGTACTTCTGCGTCACATTTACTGTGTACGTACTCTAAACACCTTCAGTAAAATACAGGTCTTGTACATGTCTAAGTCAAGCTTATACCAAGTGAAGTTTCGAGTGATATCAATCCATATAGTTATTTTTTTTAAGTTTCCATTTTCGATGACTTTTTTGTTTACACCTTCATCAAAAGGTATGAATGGCGATAACCTTAAAACGAGTTGCGAACTTTCAAAGTTTATCGAAACTCTAATCAGTCGTGCTTGTTGAAGGGGAGTCGGAAGACACAGAACTTGGGAGATTAGCATTAGAAGGTCATGCACAAATTTAATTCAGATAAAACTGGCAAGATACAGATACAAACAAAAGCAAAAACTCTGGACCATACTGAGAACAACTGAAAGCTATAGGAAGCAAAGTCAGCAAACCCTGCACTAGTGAGTGACTTGCCTTTCTCTTAAACGCTTTTCTCCTCTTCACTGCTCATTTGCCCTCTCGCCAAACTGCAACCGCCAGCTTCGAAGGCTAATGAACTTGTCTGCAAAATTCTCGAAGAGTAAATTCCGTTGTCCGAGTCTTCTTTACCCTTATGTAAAATTTAGGCGGGTGTTGCATTAAACGGAAGGAAATATAGCAATGAAAAGGCAAGTTACGATACTGCGCTGAAATGGGAAAACACGTTTTATCGAAACGCCTTCTGGACTAAATTAAACTGGGTGAACAATTAACATTGCCTGTGTAAAAGTGCCCGGATATTGCGTTGAAGACCGAACGGAACTGAATTTATAACTGGGCGTGCACTGCAGCCCAGTAATTACAATATTTGTAAGGCGGACTGATCAAGTGGTAAAGAGATCCTATAGGTTAGTGTAGCCTTGTTTGCAGGTCTAAGTCAGAGATAAATAGTGTTTAGATAACACTGTCATTGGACATCTCTAATCATAAAAATTGAAATTAGTAAAAAAAAAATCGTTTTATGTCTTTATCTCTAAAATTCTTACTTATCTACGAGGCTTTGGAGACAAAAACTAAAGAAATGTAGTATTCGTTGCTCAACTAAGTACTCAGCACTTTAATGCATTGAAATTGTTCTATTGCATAATACGGCTCCACTTACTTTGTAACTAAAAACAAGAGGAGCCATGCGGTGTAAATTCTGAAAGAGAGCGACCTCCTTACCTCATTCTGAGAGAGAGACCACCCGCTATTGAAGTGTTTAAGACGGAATCCATCAGGAATCAGTGTACCAGAATAATTTAAAGCACATTGCATTCTTTTTTACATTTTTCAAGGGCTAAAGGTTTAATAACACCAAAGAAAATTTCTTATGAGAGCCCGAGAAAATGAATGGCAAATTTCACAAAATTACATCTTACACATGAAATTTCAGAATTTTACCTGTGTTTCACATTTCTTGTGAAATTTGACACTTATTTTCTCGGCCTCCCATGAGAAATGTTGTTTGGTATTATTACAGATAACACATCTTTAGCCCTTTTGAAAAACGTAAAAAAATGTAATATTCCTTAATTATTCTGGTACAAGGATTTTCTCCACTGAAGATTAAAATTACTCAACTTCCTGGTGGATTCCGTCTTAACATTCTTTGTTCCTCATCACGCAAGGGACCAAAAGGAGCTCAGCTGCTTATGAGAGTACAATTCTTTACACACTTTGCCTTAATAGGACTTTTGTACCACTTTTTTTGCATTTTTAGGAAAATTTTAATGTGACATTTTTTTAAGTCAATATTTATCCAGGGGCATCCAATTTTAACGAGCTTGTTTAAATGAAGCCCTGACACAACACAAAAACAAAGACATTAAAACATTAGAACTAGAAAAATAATTAAGTTACAAAGCCAACATGTACCGCAGGCGCAAGATGAACAAGCTAGTGCTTCCCTCCAATACCCTATGTAGTGCAATCCTGTGCCACCTGCCAGATGGCTTGTAAGCGGCAAAAGGTAGACCCCTTTTATACGGAGAAACGTTGTTCCGCTTTGAAGGGTCAGTCGTCTGCCCCAGCTAACCTGAATTAAACTCTCTCCCATCTCATCTTTGCTAGAAGCCCACCGCCTGTAAGAACTGTTTTTTGTCTAAACGAATTCTCTAGGACAGACAGATGGATTTGCCGCCGCGACCTAAAAAAAACAAAACCTTTGCCAAGTAACCGTCGCTGACCCATCCCCAGAGCCTCTTGGTTTTCCTGCCGCCGCCATATCAGTGAAAAACAAGAAGACCCTGGGGTTGGGGTTGCCGCCCTCAGTCTGGATTCGATTTTCAGGATTGCGTGACAAGTTTCATAATCTATTTATGTATGACTCGAAGGATGTTATGATCAGCCAACTGGCTTTGTACAGTAGTTTATTTTATTCAGACTATTATAACTTTTTTTTTGTAGTTTTTACTATCAAGACTGTTTTCAGAGGAATTGGAGGAAGTATACTCGCCTTTTCCGCCTTTAAACTCCTGAGACGTGGTTCCACATATGACCAGCTCGTCACTGCCATTAGTACTTGCATTCTTCCTGTCGGTATTAAACTAATACAAATGGCTGAGGGGAGCGTTAATCTCAAAGTTCAGGCAGAGAATCGTTTAGCTCTTAACAGTTTATGGCGAATGTACAAGAATGGAACGTTAAAAGCACGCCTGGAAGCATTGTTTGTCACAGATGAAATGAGGGAACTTGCCGGTGGAGAAGGAGTGGAAGTTATTGTGACCATCGACGAGCGAGAATATGAGAACGCCCGGGACGAGTTGACTAATGAAGCAAGAGGTAACGTTATGATGTTGTGTCACCACTGACGGCGACTCCTAACCCATAAGTCTCAAAAGAGTGAAAGAGATCTAGGCAGAAAGGTTCTCTTTTCTTACTCGCCGGGTGCTGCACTGCTGTTGTTGCAGTGCAACAATAGCGGGATGTAGAGTATGGTAATTTAGGAGAAAGATAGCTTGGCCTAGTTAGAGGTCATAAGATACACTCTTAACTGGTCTACAGTGTCTACGGTCAAGTGCGTCATTTTGTTATTAACCAACATTATTATTCATTCAAAATATTTCTCCGTTTCTGATTGGCTAAAAGTACACGCATAATTCACCATAACCAGCTTCTGTTGACCAAATTTGGAAGAATTCTGCGATTAATCAACCGATGACGTCAAAGGTGCAGCAGAGTTGCAGGTTAATGCACCGTTAACCGAGAAGACCTGAGGACGAAGTTGAGTTGTTTTGGTTGTGAAAAGAAAAATGGCCGAACAGTCTGCGGAACATTTTCCTCGTTTCACGACGAACTACAGAGAGGAGAAGTGTGACGTCACGTTACCACGGTAGCAATATTTTTGGATGACCACAAAACCGACGGCGACGGCAGGGAGAACGGCAAAAAATAATATGTTTATATTAACAAACAACAACTTTGCACGTGAATCACGCCATTTTGTGCTTTTCTTTGCCGGCGTTGCACCACTACGACATGAAACTTCCTAATTTCACGAGACCGCTTTATGGAGTAGGTAAACACAACCACAAAAATTGTCGCTTTCTTTTTCTAAATATAGATAACGATAGATACGGTCCCAAAGAAAATTTCGCCAAGATTTGCCAAATTAAATGAAACTGAACAAGATCGGCGAAGTTTAAAATAGTGCGAATATAGTTTAAAGTGACTTTATCGGTTTGTTGTGATCCAAAAATGTTGCTACCGCGGCAACATGACGTGACAACTTCTCCTCTCTATTGTCTAAAAACATAGCAAGAAGACAATTCGACCGAAAACATCTGCTATTTGGAGTATATTTGCGGACCTGAACAGCCCTTTATCTTCTAAACATGCACTATCGAGGTGAACTTAACATCGACAAAGGTAAGCATGTTTTAGCTTGTTTTCAAACCAGGAATTATTTTGAATGAAAAATAAAGCAATTAATAAATTCGGTTTTCGTAGGATGTATAACAATTATTCACCGAAGTGGAGGTGGCTAGTATTGCATATTTACCGAGGCCGCGAAGCGGCGAGGTAAATATATCCACTACTAGCCACCGACACTGAGGTGAATAATTGTTCTAGTATATACTAAAACAGTGAGATAATTGAGCACAAAATGATGATTTTTAACTCATTTACTGTTGCCAACGATTACAATTTTGGCGCGCGATGACCGAACNGAGTTGCAGGTTAATGCACCGTTAACCGAGAAGACCTGAGGACGAAGTTGAGTTGTTTTGGTTGTGAAAAGAAAAATGGCCGAACAGTCTGCGGAACATTTTCCTCGTTTCACGACGAACTACAGAGAGGAGAAGTGTGACGTCACGTTACCACGGTAGCAATATTTTTGGATGACCACAAAACCGACGGCGACGGCAGGGAGAACGGCAAAAAATAATATGTTTATATTAACAAACAACAACTTTGCACGTGAATCACGCCATTTTGTGCTTTTCTTTGCCGGCGTTGCACCACTACGACATGAAACTTCCTAATTTCACGAGACCGCTTTATGGAGTAGGTAAACACAACCACAAAAATTGTCGCTTTCTTTTTCTAAATATAGATAACGATAGATACGGTCCCAAAGAAAATTTCGCCAAGATTTGCCAAATTAAATGAAACTGAACAAGATCGGCGAAGTTTAAAATAGTGCGAATATAGTTTAAAGTGACTTTATCGGTTTGTTGTGATCCAAAAATGTTGCTACCGCGGCAACATGACGTGACAACTTCTCCTCTCTATTGTCTAAAAACATAGCAAGAAGACAATTCGACCGAAAACATCTGCTATTTGGAGTATATTTGCGGACCTGAACAGCCCTTTATCTTCTAAACATGCACTATCGAGGTGAACTTAACATCGACAAAGGTAAGCATGTTTTAGCTTGTTTTCAAACCAGGAATTATTTTGAATGAAAAATAAAGCAATTAATAAATTCGGTTTTCGTAGGATGTATAACAATTATTCACCGAAGTGGAGGTGGCTAGTATTGCATATTTACCGAGGCCGCGAAGCGGCGAGGTAAATATATCCACTACTAGCCACCGACACTGAGGTGAATAATTGTTCTAGTATATACTAAAACAGTGAGATAATTGAGCACAAAATGATGATTTTTAACTCATTTACTGTTGCCAACGATTACAATTTTGGCGCGCGATGACCGAACGGCCGCGGTCGTCGCTTTTTCTTAGCGACAAATAAAACTTTTGAAGGCGTTTGTTTAGCTCTTCCGGGGAAGTTTCTTTAAAAGGAGTTGTGAATTCTGTTTGTATTTAAAATAATTCTGTAAAAAAGATTATTAAATTTAGTTTTAAGCTTATTCATGAACAAGTCAACTAAATAAAGTAACGCAAGACTTAAGCTTAATTTGCATTTGTAAACAAAAAACTTTTTCACCGGTTTTACCGATAACTATTCAAGTAAAAAAGACAAAGCTTTACCTGTTAAAACTTTCAAACCGAACTTCGCCACTTTCTTCATGTATTTCGGAAATAGCTTGCTTGATTAGTTGTGAAATTTGTTAGTTTGTTACGGCAGCAAACCGGGAAAGCATTTTGCTCGCAACCTACGCGAGTTTGGCGTCGCTCGCTCGGAGGAACTGGAGGTGAATCAGTGAATAGTGCAGGATATTCACTGATTGAGTAGCCAATCAGTGCGCGCGAAAAACACTATCCACTGTTTTAGTATATACTAAAAAGAATTATGCAGATCTCGGAGGGTGTTATCAGCCTCGGCCTTCGGCCTTGGTGGATAACACCCTCCGCGATCTGCATAATTCTTCATATCCTACTCAGCCTCATTCATTCATTGCTAATTAATTAATTAATCAATGGGAGATCGGAAAAAAAAACAGGCCAGTTTTGCGAGCGGGAGCACCTTGGTGTAGTTAGAAACTATCTTGTGACAGATTGTTGCGACCGTCCATTCTTAATATTATTATAATACCGTTGCCATATTTTCCCAGCCAATCAAACGCACCGACACTTGTTTAAAGATTTCATTTCTTCCATTAGCATTCGTTTTTTGCTGGTATAAAATTCACTGATTCTCGTTAATATTTATTTTTCACTGTCCTCATGCAACTTCATTCTCCGTATTATTTATTTTATTTTCGCAACCGTTTTGTATTCAGATGATTCTATAGACAAAGAAGAAAAGCGGCTTAAATACCTAGATCAGGAGAAATATGACTACATTCAGGATTACCTAGAACAAGCCAGAGAAGAAACCAAGGATGTTGATATACACAGCGTAACGACAGACACAAGTGACAGTGGTATACCGGGATCAAATAATACATCATCTGAAGTTGGAACGGAGGACATCAGCGGTAAGCTTTAAAGTTGAAAGCCGATGCTTAACAACAGGATAGCATACACATAAGCCAAGGGAGAGATTTATTCAAATTGGTGTTTTGGACCCGTCATCTTGATTTTAATGATATCAAAATAGTGCCGTGGTACTGAACCAAATTTAAATCAATTAAGGGAGGCAATAAGAAATTCGAGAAATATATACTTTTTAATTTTAAAAGTCGAAAGGAAATCAGGAGCCCATCAAATGGAGCCTCCATCTCCATTAATTTCTTGAGTCAACCCTTTCCCGAGTAGATTTATAAATAGAACGGCTTGTTTCTCGCGAAAAGTGTCATATTTCCGTGAGTCTCGTATGTCACCGTGAAAAAAAATGAAGTTGGGTGAAGTCGAACTCAGAAACCCGTCCTTCGACAGTTTTCCTTTTTTACTATACGTCCATTTTTATAATTTTACAGCCGCTGGGATCTCGATATCATGAAATAAAAGTTAATGAATTACCCGCTGACTGAGCATGAAGCGATGGGACAAAGGCAGCGAACTGAGGATCACGGAAAGGTTATCTTTGCGAGTGTTTTTTTTTTCCCGTCATACATCCCACATTTAAACATACACCTTGAAAAGAGTCGACGATTAAGCGTTCTGTGGACGATTTGGAACTTTTGGATGATCAACGCCGAAAAAGTGCCAGGATCATTTGACTTTTGTCATCACCGTGGAGTGGATTTCGCCAGTTAAGCACCGCGTGCAAAAGCGATGACCTAAGTAACAACTATGGAGGAATGCTCTCAGTTCCGAAATTTGAGAAATTGCAGTCTTCCTTTACAACTGACTTGTATCACCGTGAGAGTTGCCTGATAAAACTGGCACTTGAAAAGTTGAACAGAAGACAACAGTTGCTCGACCGTGAAGCTAACACAAAAGTAATTTGCTAACGGAGGAATTTGTGACATCGCGCTCCGGTCCAAAGACCCTCTTATCTCAAGAAAAACAAAATGGATTGTATCTGCGCCAAACTAGAATTATGACTGACTAACAGGACAATTCTCAGCAATTAATGTAGAAGTTTAGGCCAATTCTTCCTTTCGAATTCGCATCTGTAGATCACTTTTTTGCGAGAAAAGAATGGCTGCGCCCGGCGTTACAAAATATAGCAGGGAATCATCACACTAGCTGACGGGCAAAACAACCACAGGGACTACTAGTATTTTTTCAAGTCAACGCATTTCGGAAAAAAAAATTGAAAAACTAGAAATTTGATTAATATTGAGTCATTTAGCCGAAATAAGAACCTTAACGCTCGAAAAAATTGGCTAAAGAAAACGAAACCTGTCAGAACTACAGACTGCAGGTAGTAGTTAATCATTACGCATGTAACAGACCAGCTTCATGTCCTCTTAATGTGAGACAAGCAACCAAAATTAAGATTAACAAAGTCAGTTTAAAACTCTCCACAGTATAATCTACCCGCTAAAAAGAAAAGAAAGAAAATCTCTAAGGGATGAAAACGCTAAAGTCACGTTTCACTAGCTTATGATTGTGTTTGGCCTGTCAGCAACGAATTTCCTGCTGTTTGATGAAGTACAATAGCAGTGTCATTACGTCTTTGTGATTGGCTTTTCCCACTGTCGGCGCGCGAAGTCTCCCCTGGGAACCGTTCTAATTATAAATCTACTCGGGGAAGGGTTGACTCCAAGGGCTTGTATGGGAGATGGAGGCTCCATTTGATGGGCTCCTGAGGAAATTCATGAGGGATGGGCAAACAGGGCTCAAAGGGATTTATGGATAATAATAAATAATTGCTTACAAGTTTAAAAACAAGCCAAAACATGTTTACCTCCGTCGATCGATGTTAAGTTCATATCGATAGTGCATCTAGGAGACAAAGGGCTGTCCACGTCTGTAAATATACTCCAAATAGGAGATGTCGTCCGTCGAGTCGTCTTCTTGCTGTTCTTTCTATGGTTGTAGACAACAGTTCGCCGTGAAACGAGGAAAAAGTTCCGCCGTTGCTCACTTCGCCATCACTCAATTCAAAAACAACTCAAACTCGTCCCCAGGTCTTCTTGCTTAACGGTTCAATAATCTGCAACTTTGCTGCACTTTTGACGTCATCGATTCGATATGGCAAAAAATCTTCCAAATTTGGTCAACAGTAGCTGGTTACCATGAATTAAGAGTGTGGTTTTTAGCCAATCAGAAACGGAGAAATATTTTGAATGAATAATAACGAGGGCAGCATCAATTATTGATGACTCAGCAGTTTAAATAATGACCCCTCCTAAGCTTATTACGCGGGATGACGTAGTCAGCCAGCGTCTTAAATTCGGGAGCGCATTCCTTTCGTCGTCTTGGGAGTCAAAAATTGTCTTGTTTTTTTAACTTTCCCGTATCCCGAGCCCGTCCCGAAAAATTGTGATTTTTATTGGCTGCAACTTCGAATCACGTGCAAGTCAGGTTGGATTGCACAAGCAGAAAAAAGATACTGCGTCAGCAAAGAAGGGAAAAGTAAGCTTACAGCACAGGTAGCCCAAGCTCGAAATATGAGCATCGGCATTGTTGCGTAACATTCCAAATTTAAGGATTTGTATGGGAAAAAAACCTATCGTTTCTCTTACCTACGAAAATGAAAGGATTTCAATTAATAACAAACAGCCTTACCTTACTTAAAATGAGTGTGAGGTCTCTCCTTTGTGGTCCACGGGCCGATTTATGGCCGTCTTATGGGTTTTTATGTAAACGGTTTTCTCTCTATATAAAGGTTTACCAAGGTTGGGCACTCCAGCGAAGCGGCTCGACTGATCCACCGAAGGAAAAGGGCAGAGAGAAAACCGTTTACATAAAAACCCATAAAACGGCCATAAATCGGCCCGTGGACCACACAGGAGAGACGTAACACACATTTTAAGTAAGGTAAGCTGTTTTTTATTGAAAATCCTTTCATTTTCGTAGGTTACAGAAACGGTAGGTTTTTTTTTCCATACAAATCCTTATATTTTGAATGTTACGCAACAATGCCGATGCTCGCCGATGCTCATATTTCGAGCTTGGGCTACCTGTGCTTACAGCGTAGAGGAGGATGAAGACTCAAGGCTGTGCTCTAGATCTAACGGCGCAAGACTTAGCCTCGGGCGACTGAAAATATTGTCCAGGTGCCCCAGCCGGGCGACTTGCTGGTGTTGGTTTCTTGATTCTGTTGATTTACAGTCAAAAAGCTAAGAATGTCTAGAATTTATTACTTGCGAAATCGTAGCTCGCTCGGTGGCTTCGCGGCCCAAAAAAGAACGCTCCGCTCGCTAAGAAACTCTTGAGGTCGACTTGTAAGTAGCAATATGTAGCATGTCTATCAAAAAGCTTTAAGAAAATGTTGTTAAATCGGCAGCGGGCACGCGTTGATGTTCAAAGGTCGTTTCACGTGAATTCACATGTAACATAATCCTTGACTATGAACGTGACAATCTGCACAGTTTTCGATAGTAACAGCTGTTCATAATAACATTGAAATTTTTTCTTCAAATTAGGATGGCTCATTAGTTAGTTTTACAAAACAAATTGTAACTTGTGCTCTGACAGGCGTAAAGTACGGTCGGGGACGGAGCACTTCCTTATAAGAGGCTAATGGGGATGTGCCGCTGGATGGGGTTGCATTTTCACGACTGGATTGACAATAGTGGGGTTGCATTTTCAAAAGAGTTACTAGAATAGGGTCGCACATTTTTGGATTTTGTGGGTAAGAGAGTTGTTCATATTTACGGTTAGCAAACTTACCAGGGTATTTGTACTGTAGGTGAAAAGTAAAGTGTTCTTCATTCAATTTATTAAAAAGTGGGGCAATTCATTTTTTTGATGACCTATTTAAAGGATTGATAAGGTAGATACATAAATAGAAAGTGACTAAGTTGGGATCGCGAAAATTACATATTTGCCCAAAAGTGACTAATATGGGGTCTACAATTGGCCACAGAATAGACTATAATGGGGTAAGGGCTCTGAGAGGCCAGCGGCAAATACCTGGCAAAAATCAACCCAAGTAACCCCCCGGGGCGCGCCGCGGTTTCATTGAAATCATAACAGTTTTCCTGGAAAGCTCCACGGAATCTCAGTCAATCTTAATAAGAGAATTTCCTTTTCAAAGTAAATCAAACTGATTAGTAGAAAGAAAAGAGCCCTTATTTTTGACCCCAAATTTTTTTTTTTATAAAAAATACATAAATAGACCAGAATCTTACTTTCCATTTAAAAAACATGAAATATTCGGTAGCGTTGCCCGTGTTTCTCATATGGCGCGAAAACTTACTTTCATATGACAACATGCGGGTATTTTTTTTCGCACGTTCAGGAGGTCAAAGGGATGTGATTTTTCATGAAAAAAAATATTCACAAAATTCTGCTTGTTTGTTAAGAAAATAATTTGTTTAATTTTTAATAATTAGCTAACAGCTCACAGATTTATTAATTTGGGCGACCAAGTTGGAGGCCCGAGCACCCGAGCTAAAATGCTTGGGGAGCCCAAAGGGCTCCCTGAAATTTTCCCTAGAGTACAGCCTTGCAGCCCTGTAGTTATTGGAAGTATATACCTCCTATTAGCCGAGTTTTCGGTCCGTACTGTAAATTACAGACCGGGTTTTTTCCATCGATTTATGGCCCAAGCGTGAAGGTCCGTAATTTACAGTACGGACCGAAAAAACGAGGCTAATAAGATGTTTATTATATGGCTTCTTCCTGTTTGGGGGACCGGAAACAAGTGCAGGACGCACGATTTGACAGTCATTTGACAGGCGTCAAAAAAGAAAGTTTTTATTGGCGCACGAAAACAATAGCACATAACAAAGGCTTTCCGCCATGTTGAAAAAGTTTATTCGGTCAAAAATAAGAGCACTGTAAGTTTTAGCTCTTTAATGTAACACTGGAGTATTTTGGAAACCGGACACTGTGTCTCTCTAGAAGTCGTTTCCATCTTTCCTCCGTTTGCCCTTGTAAAGAAAACACTGCAAAAGGCAAAGAAGCTTTTTAAGGTAAGTTTGTTGTCATCATCGAAGGATTCGCTCGTTAATTGTTTTTGGGAAAACCTCTCTTTCTACCAGTTCATTCTCGTCTTCAATTGAGATCTGCGTTAAAATTTTCAAACACTGACTAAAATTCTCTTCCTCGGTAAGGTTACGATTCAGTTTCTACATCAGCTTCGTTCTCATTACAACAAAGCTAGGTTAAAATTTGGAAAGGCAAAGTCAACATCCCAGTCCTCAAGGTTTACAGACATATTTTAAAGTTTATTCGGTCAAAACGAAGAGCAATATAAGTATTCACTCCTTAGTGTGACGCTGGAGTCTTTTGAAAACTGGGCATTATGTCTGGCTCGAACTCGCTTCTATCTTTCTTTCGTTGGTCTTTGAAAAAACACTGCAAATGGCAAAGAAGCTTGTCAAGATGATCGGGTGCAGGTATGTTTGTTATCATATTTGTCGAAGGAACTACTCATTTCTCTTAGGCAAAACATCTCGAATCTCTGCCAGTCGATTTCGTCTTCTTAACTGTGTACTGCGATAAATTTTCAGTCACTGACTAGAATCCTCTTCGATAAGATTACGAGTTAGTTTCTTCATCGCCTTCATTCACCAATAAACACAGTTTAAAATGTTGAAGGCCAAAGTCAACATCTAAGTCCTCAAGGTTGACAGGCGTCTTATAACTTTATTTAATCCTTTTTTCCGAGGTAAAGAGATTTAGAGCTCCGAAATGAGCATTTTCTTTAAAAATTTTGGTCCGTATAGCAAGTTACGGACCGCAAATTGACCAATCGCATGGCGAAAACAGACTCAGCCATATAATAAGATACATTACATGCTATTGTTGAGTGTGGAAGTGTATTTTTTGAGGACATTAGTAAAGGAATGCAAATTTTAGTGAACTACCCCATACTCCTAACATATACGGTGGTAATATTGATGTAAGTTTTGTTTTGAGTAGCAAAGGAACCCTTGTCTGTAACTTATCTTCTAGTGTATTATTCCTTAACAGAACATCTCCGTCTCTCCTAGACACATTTGTCGCATACACTACTCAACTTTCCATTGCCATTGAACATACTGGTAATTCTTTCTTACACCAACACATCCCGCGTAAACGCCTTCGGGCATCTTCTTGTCTAATACTAGAACATATCAAACTTCTAATCCAAGTTTAAAAAAGAAAAATGAGATTTTAATTTGTACGTATATTTAGTCTCAAATGTTCAGCGAAAGAGTTTTTCGGGGTCATTTTCTTTGGAGGTCTCTTAAAAAGCGTTTCTGGGAATACTAGGAGACTCTGTATGGGGGTATTTAGGACAAAATCTATCGAGGTCGCGGCAAAAGCTTCTTGATGAAACGACGATCTTATAGATTATAAACGCGACGATCACATAAGTTTGACAATATTAGTCGTACGATGACAACAAAGAAATCTACCAAAAGGTGTGATGCACGCTTAGAGATGTTATCATAAACGTTGCTTAATAACTAGTTATTAAACCGATTTTTCCGTCGTCGTTGTGGTTGCTTAAGCTCCCTAATAACGTTACCGCGCAAAAAATTCTTGATATCAGATGAGTTCATTGAAAAACCGGCGATTTGATGGAAACGCGCGACGAAAACGACGTCCATAGGTACCCAAAGAGAGGCTCATGGATATTTACGTTCAAAATCAGCAAGGGCACCACCGTAATCATCACCTCTTTTACTACATTATTACATGAGTATATTTGGTTGTTTGTGACGTTCTGCACGAACACTTGGCTATAAGTATTCTTCGCTATAATTGCGCTGGCGATTTTTCCAAATTTTCAATTGATTTCTTGGCCATTCTTAGCTGGGTCAATTTCAGAGGTCCGCACACAGGTCCGGACACAAGGAAAATTTAGGGAAAACGTAACCAGTTCCCTAATTTTAGCTTCTTCCTTTTTCCTAGATCCCATTTCCAATCTTTGTCTAAAAGATCTGAGTAAAGTAGCGACGGCAGAACTGGCATGCAGACTTCAAGTGGATCCTACTGCTCTGCAGCTATTTTACCAGGCTTTTGGGCTTGATCCTGAGAAACTGCGCCCCTATATGCTGGATGATATAGCCGAATTCTTTCCTGACACTCCAGTCAAGCTGTTAAAAGACGTTTTTCAGGAGTTTCAGTTGTATGACCTCGCAGAAATGCTGGAGAAAGTAAAATCGCGCTCACTTCGTCCTTCTCTTCCCCTGAAAGAAATGAAGAAGTTATTAAACGTCAGTGGTCGTCCTTCAAAAGTTTACAATAAAGCAGAAGTTTTGATTGTCGAGCACTCTGACAGGAATGCTGTTGTAGAAGCTTATCCTGATGTTGAGAGAATTGGAAGTTTCTTCCAAGCTCTAAATTCACGGAGCCAAATAACTAAATTAACAGTGAAGGCTGCAGGACAAACGGAGAGTGAGCTGATAATCTTGAAGGATAGAAAGGCAAGGGAAGACCACCGTGACTTGATCGCAAAGGCAAAGGAAGCTGCATTCAAAGAGCATCTGGAAGGTAAAACGGGTGTCAGTCACTTCAACGTAATTGATCTTTTTGAATTTGAGGAACTACATGAACTTAATACTGAACTTGGAGCGTTGAGTCACGAAGAAAGACCGGCGATAAAAAAACGTCTTGAAAAGGTAATAGAGGAAAGAGAGCAGAGAAAAATGGAAATAGAGGAAATCGTGAAGGAGATACAACAGAAGGAGGAAGAAATAAAAAGACATCATCAGGGAGAGAAAGAAGAATTCCAAGCGGCCGTCTCAACCGTCATGGACAAATGGATTCGTCAAGCGAAAGATGAAGGTTAGTTGATTTTGTATTGTTGACTTACTTCTCGCGATTATTTGTCTTCTAGTTAGAGGGCTGCCCAGTTATAAATTCGGTTTTCGGTCGTCTGTGCTGAAATACGGTCCCCCGGGGAAGGGAAGACACGCGGGTCTGGTACCAAGAAACGATGTTCTCACAAATGGTTTCATACGATTTTCCCTTGCACTGACTCTTGTACGAATACTTTTTGTACCTTGTCTCCGCCCCTAGAAACCCAGAAGGCGTTGCGAACCTGAAGAAAGCTATTTGCGTTGTTCGAAGCGATTCGATCATAGGAGTCACTCTATAAGTTTTGTCGTTGTTCGAGTTTAAGTCAGTTGATGATGTTGGCGCTGGGAAACTCGGAGAAATGCTCACGTTGCATACGAACCCACACGCCTTCCACGGTAGGTTCACGCTAAAAGATGACTGTGAGCGTCAGGTTTGGAACGCCGGGGCCGTTTCGTGAACTCAAAGAGAGAATTATCGATCGATGTAGTACATGAGCAATTAATAAGCACAATATTATGAGCAAAGTATTTCACCAGTTGACGACACTATGGCTAAAGACTTGATTGTAAGCTGTCGTACTCAGTGAGGCGAACAACTCAATTACCGATGAATGTCAGGTGAATCCTGATGTTACGAAATGGACGTCCATGAGCTGCATGAGCGAGGGACGTGACGACTTTGCGCGCCATGTTAGAAGGCTGGCTTTTCCTTTAAATATTTCCTTCTATTTAATGCAACACAAGCCACTTTGGAGGTCTAAATTTCGGATACTGAGGATAAAGAAGACACGGACAAAAATAGGAACTTTGAGATTTTCGCACACGACTTCAAAGCTTCACCGGGACATCCCATCCGGGAGCTTCACAAAGACGAACTTGAGGAAAATAGGAGCTATTACTGGCAAGGTTTGGTGACTGAGTAGAGCGTGGCCGTAGAGCATACAAGTGTAGCCCAGGTCGAGGTTTTAGGGGGTTTGCTTTTGTTTGTATCTGTATCTTGCCAAGCTTTTATCATTAAATTTGTACATGATCTTGTAAACACAATTTTGTGTTTTCGCCCATTCAGCAAGCACGACATACTTAATGTCAGCATTAGCGAGTTTCAAAAAACCTGCCTTTGTAAATTTTCAGCTTGCGTGATGTTTCTTGTACCATTTTATGGAGATGTAAACTTAAGTCACTGCAAAATGGGAACTTAAAAAAGGGTATAATCCATTTATCTCGAAACATAATACACATGACTTACACGACCTTTATTTTCCTAAAGGTGTTTTGAATACGAACGAACACAGTAAATGTGAGGGGCAAAAACAGTATTAATATGAATGAACCAAAGGGTTTTACTTGATGTAAGGGTCAATTATTGCGCATTGAGATGTATTGCTTGAAAAGAAAGAGTTCGTGCTCATGTGATCAGAAGTAAACAAGGGCATATAGTGCGTTACGTTCAGTCTATTTAATATCCAAGGACTGTGAATAGTGTTTCCATATTTTTTAGCTGGCACAAAAACGTCGGAGGAGTTATAAAGCGGCATAGTTATCTACCATGAAGGAAAGTTAGTCATGGGTGAGACAAACAGCGAACTCGAGCGAATTTTTAACTGATATCGGTATCAGGTAAAAAATATGTTAGCGATCGTTTCATATATTTACATTGTTTAAAGTGGGTGCTGATGAAAGCAACATGCGAGCGAGGATTTTATTCCTTTAAGTTTGAGAAAAATACCAAGAAGAAAATCTTAAAGCTGAATATTTTTTTATCTTGTGGAAAAAATAGTGCGTTTTCATCTAGACTGTAGACCGCAAATTAGTATCGTCTATTTAAAGTCTGAGGGTTGCAGTCAGTGAGGCCCCTGCATTGGGAACAATGGGCAGTTGGCTGTCTGTTTTAGTAAACTTCTGGTTTTCTTACAATACAATATTGCTCTCTAGTGTAAATCACCCCAGTGGCGAGTAGCTGACCCTGTCGCATTTTATTGTTGGTTTTCACATGACGTCACTAAAATTCAAACTAAAAACTATCGATCCTACCGAGATTTTACTTTCACGATGCATTAGAGCAGCTGAAAACTAATTTTCATACACTTTTTTTTGTCCAAAAAGGTTCTTGGTTTTGTAATAGAGTACGCTTGAATTTCTAAGCTTTTGCGTGACGCGGCATTTACATGACGGCCAAGAGAGCTGTCATGAAGGTCAAAAAAATGACTTATTTCAGGAAATTTTGTAATCTAAACAGTTCATGTATTAGAAAAAGAATTACTTTAATGTTTTATGAGTTTCTCTAAGAATAAATTCACGCTTTTGTAGCAAAAGTCGGTAACAGATGTTTCTGTTGGTTTTCGTCCGCCGTGTTGGAGCTCATCCAGGTGAGCACCTTCATTGCGTCTCCATACAAATCTCTATAAGTTTGGGTAAAATATTTTTTCGGATATCTCGTATACGAAATATTCCTCTGACCTGAATCTTGGTGAGGGTCTTTGCATATGCACCCCCTTTCATGTCCCGACTTCTGAGCTTTATGTATTGAACGGTTTTGATTTTTATTTCGATCTGTTTTGAGTGGCGTGACACTGAAAACCAGCAATACTCGTAGAACAAAAATAATTTTGGGAATTTCCGGTTACGTCAAATTAGTCACGTTATACTGTCACGCTATATTTTGGGGGACAGAGGTATTGGGGGTGGGGTGCGTGAAAATAATGCAATTCGTTTCCTGCTTAAAATTAATGGCTAACTTGTTTATGTTTATTCATAATGGTGGAATTTAAAAGTTATTATACAGCCCCCACTTAAAAATGGTACTCATTTTTTTTGTTACGAAAGTCTTTCAAAAGGTACAATGTTCTGAATGAGTTTATGTTTCAGTCTCACACGAGATTCTGTTTCACGCAATGGTCGGCGACAAGGTTTTGTGGTAGCCTGAGTGTGTATAGCCGTTCCCTCCCCTCAAAAAAAATAGCTCCTTGGCAGCCCAGTTAAACTCGCCTTTCGGCGATTATTGTCTAGACGTCTATTCTTTGATGGTTATTTGTAGCAAAGAAATAGTAGAGGTTTCATTCGTTTGCATTTTGAAACATACCTTTCAACACGGTTTACGGTCATCTCGCTACCAACGAAATCGTCTCCAAAAGGTCTACTCGCCGCCACATAACTACTCTACAATAATTGACACTGTTTACTTACCTAGGATTGTTACTTCTTCTCAGTGAAGCTCAATTACAAGTTTTTCGATTGCAACTGACACCTTGCATCGAACCTCTCATGTTTAGTTTTATTTTTTGTGAATAATTGCGACTTTTTAATACGTTTACTTGCTTATTTGAGGTGCCATTTGTTTAAAATCGAACAGCCGACCTTTCTTATAAAGAAGGGTAATATTGTCCCTTGACCCTTACCTCCTGAGGGAATTTTCTTTTAGAGAATTGCCCTTTCGATAAGTATTAAGATATATATTTCTTGGTGGTGGTTTCGTTGGTAGCAAGATCGTTTAGTGGCGACGTGACTGGATAACTTCAACATACCCACCCTTCCCCACTGTTTGTCATATTTATTGCAACATTTACACTTTACCCGTGGTCGCGGGATTACAAACTGAGCAAGGTATTAGCAGGCCACTCAAAAAGAGATCAAAGTTTATCGCCCTTAATTTCTGTAGCTTGTTCCTTCGCTACATCTCTACTGTCTGAGAGCCTGGTGCAGGGTAAATTTCTCAGGTCAAGAAAGCAATAAATCATTTTAGACCCAGTTCAAACGTCGAACGCTTCATGTACCGAACCCAATCCCATCTCTATATATCAAAATTCATACTACCCTCGAGGCTTGGGGGAATAAAAGAAAAGAAATGTATAATTTATTGCTGAGCCTCAGATGATTTCTTTTGTTTTATGCATGGTTCAGTTGAGTGTAGGTTTTTGTCGAGGGTCGAGGGTCGAGGGTAGAATGTCGAGGGTCGACGGTATATTGTCAAGGGTCGAGGGTAAAGTTTCGAGGGTCGAGTGTAGTTTTCTTATCGTTTTTTTGAGCTTTGGTCGCAAGATTTCCCGATTTTTCGGACGAGTAAAAAACATTCCTTGCGAATTCTATAACAATTTTCATGTCGGTACCCCATGTTGCTCATACAAAGCCCTTGAATAGAACGCAAGATTTGACCGAGTCACGCGGGAGATTAGCCTCCCTCGCAGGCGTTTTTAGGGGACCTCGTCTTTCCTCCCTCGTGGGGAGGGATGAAAGACGAGCTCCCCTAAAAACGCCTGCGTGGGAGGGTAGCGGGAGATGTACTGTCACAATACCTGTTTTTAATAGCAGTGTAAAGCGCTTCTGACTGAATACTGTACTGAATGCCGAAGCGAGACTTACTGATCAGTGAAGCCTAAACTCAGCTTGGTGCGGCACGAGTCTTCTATGAGATACGAGTGGTTGCAAATTCATTGGTTTTATTATATTTTTATACGTTTTCAAGCATGCTACGTCACTTGTCACCAGAATACACACGGTATGCAGAGCATACGAAGCATTCTACATAAACGAACCTCCTAGCCCTACACAACTACTAGAGCAGGCGCTAAGGCTAATTCTTCACGAAAACTCATTCCAGTTTAATGGAAAAAACTACCTTCAAACACATGGTACAGCCATGGGCACGAAAATGGCAGTCGCCTTTTCTAATACACCTATTTCGAGAAAGGTTGTCGGAAAAAGTGCACACAACAATCCCGAAAGGTATTGTGGGTGGTTTTGAGTGCACTGTTCTTCCAAGAAATTTGAAAGAATGGCGCGGGGGGGACCACCCAGACATATGTTTGCGCGTGCTAAAGGAAAGCAACCAAAGTAGGTTCGACAGCTACAGTCGTTAGGAACAGTCAATTAAGAGATCATAATAGGACAGAGAGGGAGTCTAAGGGCGATAAAAAAACGTTACGGCTCAGTAATTGTAAGTCACAGGCGAGTTTGACTTTATTCCTTAGACACCATGAATTAACCAATGAGAACGCTTCTCATTTTCTAATTAACCAATCGAAAACGAAGACATTGATCGACCTTAAAGTAACTAGAAAACCTAAACCAACTAAAGATAGCACACGATCTTATGTTAATGAGATTCCTGCCTATTTTATTCATGAGATAAAGACAATAGGCTATGAAGCCATCAACATTAATGTATTCCGCAAGTTAATGAGATTCCACCGCAAAAAAGGGGTTAATTCGGTGCGTCCTATTCTACTTTTTTCTCACCGGCTACTGAAAAGCCGTGAATGGAAAAAAAAAATCCATGAAGGAAACCAAAAACACCGGCGATAGCTATTACTTTTTAAGACTCTAGTAAACCGCTTGTCTTGTAACATCGAAAAAATATTTGCCCGGCTTCGAAGGGTGACACAGGAATTCGATAGTAGAAAATCGGACGAAGGAAAGCTCATGATTCATTTTTTTTCTTTTTAGACAGGGAAACAACCCTTTTTGTTGTACTTCACGTGAAGAATTTCACATGCTGGAGCGATGGAGTAATAGAATTTGCAACAACGACACGAGAATTTGTGAATGAAAAATTGGCACTCATTCCAACCGCGAAGCTTATCATAGCAGATCTCCTCAAAGGAGGTACAATCAGTATTCCCCAGGAAACCCTTGCAGTACGTCTTTCTTGGAGGAAAGAGGTAGACTTAGCTATAATACAAGAGCTTTTGAACAAACGCTGGATGACATTAGACCTCCTTTCCGTCTTGAAGGAAGCACAAAGGACTTTACCCATCAAGATGTTTTCTGAGAGAGAATTTTGTGATCCTAGGTATAATTATAGTGATACATTTGCTATACGTGAAAATTTGTCTTATCTTCCAAGACTTCAAAAGGATGAACAAAAGCCAGAATCAAACGATTTATAAATGAGACTGAGACAATGTTCATACTATACTGGCATGGATATCTTTGCCTGCCGACGGTGACTACGATGACAACGCGTTGGGTGGTGAACGCAAACATTTTATAGACGCTCATGCAATTGGATAATTCCAAACATTGCTCACGAGCAATCAGTAGACTATTTGAGGGTAGGAAGACCCATGTTTTGTCATGTAGTATTGATTACTCTCATCCCCTGAGTCCATATTCGTGTCACCACGCAACGCCTAGTCATCGAGTTTCCTGAGCGCACGTCATGTTGCCCAGAACCGAAAGCGTTCAAAACATTTCCTCACAAAAAACACATCGCAGTACCCATGACGAGGGAAGAGATAAGAGACGTACCTGGCCTTAAGGGTTTGGCACTTTTATGGCTAATTGGTGCGCGGTTGTTTGATGCGGGAGAGATTTGTGAGTTGAAGTTGCACACAGCAACCTGCCTTGCTTCGCATTATGTACGAAAACGACATCGAACAAACAACGAGCCCCAAAACCGTATAATCAATGTCTGTGTAAAGAAGATGAAAAAGTCCCTCAGCAGCAACGGCAGTCATGGGCAGCCGGTAGTAAGTTGTTACTGAATGAGACCAAGACCAAGCAGATGGTTATTACCACCAAGCAGATGTCTGGAGTGCATCATCTTGAACTGGAACTAATCGTTCACACACATCGAACATCATGTCGGAGCAGTTGGTCGAGAGGGTTTGTGACGTAAATTCCAGTCTCACTCCTGAATATTTACTTCCATCTCAGTGGATTCCAGTCCTTGCTGTTTATTCACTTCCGCTTCGAATCAAATACCTGTTTACACTGTACCAACGTGTGGCACAGAAACTATCTGATATGTGATGCCCTAGTTTAGAGATCACCGCGGCGCAGCTTCCCTCCGTTACAGAATCGCGCCGAAATCAAATTTCTTATGTGTGAACATACGTACATACATGAGCCTCCGGCTCGGATGATCGGGGCAACCCCATCCCACGTGTAGACATAAATTGTTTGATTGTTGATTGATTGATTGACTGAGTGAACAGAAGCCCTACCCGGTATGATTTTCATGCAAGCGCAAGAGCTATCCTCGACAGTGTGAACATAGCCGGAAACACCTACCAGTTTCATCACCATAGAAAGTTAGCATATTAAACCGTGTTGCAGGACCAATATTTGTAGTGAAGTGTGGGTTCAAGCTACGTTGCAACATGTCGACAGTCTGATTTTGAAAAGAATATCTTTAGGACCAATGTGGAAAATAGCCCGCAGGAATACACTCACCTTGTCCTATTTCAGTACAAACGCAGAGTTGCTTGTAAACGCAGTCTGCTAAATAAGGTCCAGTTTTATCTTCCGCGCGTGCCTAAGTCGGTTCAATTACTCTTCACCATGTTCACGTAGATTTCACTGGATCAAGGCCTAACTTTTCTCAACTATTTCAAGTTATATACTCGACACAAAAGAAAAATACTTGAAAGTTTCCATATTCCTTGAGAATTTTGACACCTACTAAGAACTAATTAGAAAGCATGTTATCTATAGCATTAAATTTTATTTAGGACTACATGCAATCTTTGTTATTGCCAATAGCAACTTTTTCTTTTTTATGTGGTATTTTTTTATACAGCAAACCAATTGCCTTCTTGGGAATCACCATTCGCTAAAACTAAACGGAAGTTTTAATTCCGAGACATACGTGAACCTCGTAAGTGTGAGCATAACAATGACATCTACCTATAAATATTTTATGTATTAAGAATTCGTGTTTAACTTTTAATAATAAATAAATTTAAGAACTATTCAAGTTTCAACTTTGTTCTTCTATTTGCAGTTTATTTCGCATAAATAGTGAAGAGCGAACTCGGAACAGATCGTTTGTGGTGATAATTATTTGTTTTAAAAAATCTGAATCTTGAGTTTAAGACAAAATTAAGGCGTTGAACACCAGCAAGTGTTAAAACCTTAAAAAGATGTCTCCTTCCCGTACAAGAAAAGGTCGAGATTTACCAAGTGCTAAGCGGTCGAAAAGGTATCCAGACCCACAAGCACGGGAAAAATGAAATGCGCGGGAAAATGCACGTGATTCTAGCTTGACCTTTTAACATCAAACACGAGAAAGAGTGTTTTAAAAGTAGGTTGAGTTTGATCGTACAGGTGAACGTAGTCCTGAATAGGACTGTTGTTGCTGACAGTAACTGACGTTTCGACAACCTGTGCGGTAGTCATCTTCAGAGTCAAGGGTGAGGGTGGGTGGACGGACGGACGGACGGACGGACGGACAGACAGACAGACAGACAGACAGAGACAGATAGATAGATAGATACATAGATACATAGATACATAGACAGATAGATAGACAGGGATCGATCGATCATTGAAGGACGATTTCTCGTTAAATGGTTCATTTACTTGGCTACGACGAATCGCTCTCTCGAACTTCGAGCTTCACGACGAGTCAAGATCCGCTGTAATATTTTTCAAAAAGTTCATATGTTGCAAACCTAGTGAGAGCAAATCCTTGTCGTTTTTACATTGTGGTATTTCAGAGTGAGAAAACTCCATAAATTTATTTCATGTTGGCACAAAAACCCGAGAAAAGGTGTACACTAGGTGCGAGCTAACAAACATAGCTGACTGTAGACTGATTAGGTGGCACACCCATACATGTAAGTGCATTGTAACTTAGTGTTTTCTTTAGGTAGAGCTAGCAAACATAGCTGACTGTAAATTAAGTGGCACACCCATAAGTGCAGTGTAACCCAGTGTTTTCCTAAGGTTGAGGTAACAAACATGGACTGTACTTAAGGTGGCACATCTACGAGTGCAGTGCCGCCCAATTTTTTGAATAGGTAGAGCTAACAAACATAGGCTAAAATCTAGGTGGCACACCCATGAGTGCAGTGTAACCCAATGTTTTCTTTAGGTAGAGCTAACAAGCATAGGCTGTAATTTCGCTGACACACCCATGAGTGCAGTATAACCCAATGTTTTCTTTAGGTAGAGCTAACAAACATAGACTGTACTATAGGTGGCACACCCATGAGTGCAGTGTAACTCAATGTTTTGAATAGGTAGAGCTAACAAACATAGGCTGTAATTTCGCTGACACACCCATGAGTGCACTATAACACAATGGTTTCTCTAGGTAGAGCTAACAAGCATAGGCTATACTATAGGTGCCACATCCATGAGTGCAGTGTAACTCAATGTTCTGAATAACAAATATACCGTTAGGCTGTAATTCAGGTGGCAGACCCATGAGTTCAGTATAACCCAATGTTTTGTTTATAGGTAAAGCTAACAAACATAGGCTGTAATTTAATTGGCACACCTATGAGTGTAGTGTAACCCAACGTTTTGTTTAGGTACAGCTTCAACGTAGACTGTACATCTGATGGTAACATGTTTGTGGTAAAACGTTATGATAATGTGCTACAGTGTGTCACCTCGACTGTTTTCTTTATCGCTAGTTATATTGTTTCAAAGTGTAATTTAAAGCCAGAGAAAGAAGTATTAAAAAAATTGTCTAAACTAATTTAGGTGGCACACTCATGAGTGCAGTGTAACCCAATAGTTTCTTAAGGAAGAGCTAACAAACATAGGCTTTAGTTTAGGTGATACAGCCATGAGCACAGTGTAAGCCAGTAATTTAGGTGGCACACCCATGCAGGTGTGCAGTGTCACTCAGTGTTTTCTTTATGTAGAGTTAACAAACATAGGTTATAATTTAGGGGGCACACCCACATGAGTGCAGTGTAGAGCTAACAAGCATACATGTAGGCTAGTGTATTATAAGTGGCACACCCATGAGTGCAGTGTAACTTAATGTTTTGAATACGTACAGCTAACAAACATAAGTTGTAATTCAGGTGGCACTGCACCCATGAGTGCAGTGTAACCCAATGTTTTGTTTATAGGTACAGCTTTGCTATAGACCGTACATCAGATGGCAACACGTCTGTGATAAGACTTTGTGATAAAGTGCTAGAATGTGTCACCTCGACTATTTTCTTTATCGCTAGATCTATTGTTTCACTGTGAAATTTATAGCCAGAGAAAGTAGTATTGTCTAAAACTAATTTATGTGGGACTCCCATGATTGCAGTTTAACCAAATATATTCTTTAGGTAGAGCTAACAAACACACAGGTTGTACTTTAGGTGGCACATCCATGAGTACAGTGTAACCTGTTTTTTTTTTTTTTTTTTGAGTAGAGCTAACAATCATAGGCTGTACTTTAAGCAGTACACCCATGAGTGCAGTGTAATTCAATATTGTGAAGTTTTACAGTCGTTATCCTAAAAGTAGTAGCCAACTGCTAATACAGCTGCCTCTCATCACTCCCTACCAATAGGGAAGTTTTGCGAGATAGACTGCCAAAGAAAATGATTAGAGGCAGGTGTATTCAAAGGCTATGAAAGTTAAGCAACATAAAAAAGCTGCTGCAATTGAAAGTCATGAGGGATCTTTGCTTTCGTGACTTAACCGTATCTCTAAAAATTTTTTTACCGAAGAGCAATTTCAAAGGTAAGGGCAAAAACCCGTTAAAGCAGAAATCTGACCATAAAGGGACCAAACCTTGATAACAGGCCCCCTGCGTTACAGTGATCGTGTGATCAACTTTCACTATTAAACACGAAAACGGTTCACTTTTGAAAAATTTTGTTAGCACAAGCTGGAAGAGCATATTAAAGTTAGGTAACCTGAGGATTTTCAGCCATACATGTATTTCTCAAAAGTAGTGATTGCAATGGCCACCGAAAGTTGGAGGCATTTGTATGACAAAAACAACTCTTTCCACCCAGTCACACTTGCATGGTTTTCCATACAAATCTTAGTAAATTTCGAAATTTTCAAAACTCTTATGAAATATTTCTTTAAAGCATTACAGGGCTATAATCTTTCAATTCATAACAGGCAATTTGAGCCCTTAAAAGTATGAGGGAGAGATTTAATGACAGTCTAAAAATTTTACAATTTGTGAGGATTTGTACGGAAAAACAACCAAACGTGACTTGGTGGCAAGAGTTGTAGTTTTTTCATACAAACGTTTCTAATTTTCGGCAGCTGTTGCCATGATCACTACTTTTGAAACATATGGCTGAAAATTTACAGGTTACCTAAATTTAATATGCTCATCTCTCTTCACCCAGGTGCATAAATGGGTACCAGTGACATACTGCTGGGGGGAGGGGGGGCGAATCCTGCGATGGACTAGCAACCCGTCCAGGGGGAGTAGAAATACTCCTAGGTGCTTCATGCCAATGAAATGGGAATAAGCTCCGGTCATTTGGGTCTTTGGCTCGTGTGTACCTTTACCTTTTACCTTTTACTTTTAGCGCGTACTACTAGAATTGTTCAAAAGCGAATTGTTTTCATGTTTACCGAAAGTTGATCACATGATCAACTCATCCAAAGGGCTTAACAGTTCAATTTATCCTACAGATGTTAACCTGCGATCAGGGTTTTTTTTTTTTTTCGGGGAAAGGGGAAAAAAAAAACGCCTGATACATTTACTTAATGGGTCGTCTGCTGCCCCTAATTAAGGTGTCTGTCAATATTTGTGTTTTTGTGTCAGACTTTACCTAAAATTCTAGACTGTTCACAGTCCCCTATTTTTTCGTGAGATCATTTAGATATACCGCGTCTTACCGTCACGGGTATCTTGATTTTCAAATGTACCCAGGGGGCGGGCGTCAGGGATTATAGCTCTGGGGGGGAGGGGGAGGGGCGAGAAAAATAGAGGGACTGTAATAACATCACTGCAGCTTGCGTTCACGGAGCACATTATACCAGCAACGCAGGCGTTTGATTGGTCATTAGACAATAGATGTTAATTTGCATTGACAACGGGTTTAATCTAAGTTGCCGACATTGACAAGTCGTTGACAAGTCGACGTTTTCATAAAACGTACGCTTTCATACCATAAGGCACATCTTGCGCAAACGCACGAAGGATTTTTGGTATTTTGATTAGGAAAATGTTTTCTTGTGCATGTTTGCCAATTTTATTTCGAGGAGTGGCACAGAACCATTATAAAATCACTGTTTCGCAAGGAGATATTTGTAAACACGCGTAATCTATGCTAAATGTGTCTGGCATGTTTTTCATCACCAGCGGAGTTTCTTAATAAATGAATGGTAAAAGGCGTGAAATTCCTGTCACGCCTCCTGAACGCGAGCTGCAGTGATGTTATTACAGTCCCTCTATTTTTCTCGCTTCCTCCCAAACTGCCCCTGCCCCCTAAGTAGTTTTGACACTCATGCAAAATGGCAGCCCGTAACACAAAGCACTCGATCTCGATGATCTTACGGAAAAATAGAGGACTGTGAACAGTCTATTAAAATTCAGGCAGTTTGCAACAAAGGCGGCTATTATCTAAATGTATTTATCTTAACTTTACGGTCAAGCGGTGAATGTTAAGTTGATGCATTTCTTTGAAGACCTACTAGCTTTAAAACCTAAGCTTGCTGTTAATAGAATTCCTTAATCATCTTGTGGTTTCTGTCATGAAGACGAAGGTGACAAAACCTATCTAATAGCCCCAGAGGTCAGATATGTTGCTTGACCAATCGGTGCAGGGCTTCAAAGGATCTTCTGTTTTTCGACCAGTCAGAGAAAAGTCCACATTCTGGACTGCAGGCCGAGAAAGTGTAAATTAATTGTATCAGGTGTCCTTTTCCCTTTTTCTCCCAAACGAGAAGGGAAAAGGACTGCCTGATCGCAAGTTATAAAGATGGCTGTAGTCTTTGTCTGCCATAGCCAATAGGTTACTGTCGCTTAATGAAGTGAATAAAACTAGGGTGACCCACTACTGTGATCTGTGTTCTCTCTGTACTTTAGGTCAATACTGGGATCAATTCTATTGAGTTTACTCTTCAATGTGCCCATTTTACAGTTACAGGTGGAAACTAGGCTGGAGTTGACCTTGTTTTGATACAGTCCTGCCTGATTTATTATGTAAATCATGTTGCTCTTATGCTAAGTAGTATTTTTATAAGCAAAATTTACATTAGAAAAGGAAATAGGTTTGTACCAAAACGAGGTCAACCTCAGCCTCACCTACACTTAGAGGCTAGGACACCAAGAATGGCCTACAGTGCATTTGAATTTCCCGCGACAAGCATAATAAACAACACTGCCAAGTATTATAAAACTACCCGCTAAATGTTTCAGAAACTAAAATGACAACTCTTTACAACCCAACCAAAATTTAACATTTTGGACAATATGTTAATCTTACCTGTGAGAAGCCTCGTATAGTTTAAGTTTCAGGGGTCATCTTTTGTCGAGGACGGAGGATTGAACAATTCCCAACTACCTCAGCGACAAAGTCCGCCCTTAAAAAACACAGAAGAAGTAAATAAGTATTACGAAGACAGAAGCGACAAAATATAACATTATTCTTACATATTTCCTCATAAAATGGTAAAAAATGTAGCAATTTCTCATCAATGCAAATCCGGTCAGTGTAAAACGCAGACTGCGGACTGCAGACTGCAGACTGCGGACCAGGGGTAAAATGCAGACTGCAGACTAAGAGGAAAACGCAGGTTGGGGTAAAATGCAGACCGAGCATAAACTGTAGTTGTGGAAGGGTTTAAGGGAAAAAAAATCCCGCAAATACATGTAAACGAACACTTAAATTGATGACATGTGCTTTCACGAATCCATTCCTCTCTTTTCTGGAACGTCGTCGACGACCCGAAAACATAATCGCAATCTTGAACCTTTTTTCCATCCGAGAGACTTCACGCTTCAACTTTTGATGTGAAGTTTTCGATATACGTGACCAGGGACCGTGAATTGGTACAACACCACGATGTTTACGCTTAAATGAAAGCTGCTGACCCAGGAAGGAAGAATTATGGCGATAAAAAAGGGAGTAAGTCATTCCAACAACAAAAAAAGATGTTCTGCAGGAAATTTGGATGACCTTCTATGAAAGTATTGCAAATCAAGGTACGCAGACTTAAGCTGTTTGGATGTTCATTGAAACTTCTGGCGAATGTGCAATTCACTTCGACTAGGAAGCGAAGTGTGTAACTGATACCGGCTAGCTATTCCACCGATTTGAAGAAGAAGGAGCACAAATGTTTTAAAAAGTCTACAGTCTTTATTCTGCATTTTACCCCAGCCTGCGTTTTACTCTTAGTCTGCAGTCTGCATTTTACACTCAGTCTGCACTTTACCCCTGGTCCGCAGTCTGCAGTCTGCAGTCCGCAGTCTGCGTTTTACACTGACCGAATGCAAATCATGGCGTTCACGCCGCTTCCGTTCTCGTTTCCAGAGGCTCACGGCAACTTAGCCTGAATTTCATCCGATTACTTCGAGTCGTTAGTACTCCCTCAGTAATGTCTGAATCGACCGGCCGTTAATGCCGTCCAGTGACGTCACTACTCCTTGACCTTTGCTTTAATTCATGCAAAAAGTAAAACACGATTTTCAAGTGGAAAACCTAGAAATTTCGTTTGGAAATGTCTGCATGATACAGAATTGCTTTATTTTTTTTTCGATCGTAATTCATATTTAACGTTCAAACTATCAACTGCATGCAGTACAACTCTGAACCGGTTGTACTGAATTCTATAATCTGAATCAAACTCGGTCGCAATCACGCAAGGAAATAAACACACACACGGAACACTTAGTTCAAAAACACAATGATTTGCTTTAATTGAAAAGAAGCTATTTGGTCCTTAACGAAGAAAAAAACAAGAAAACAAGAAAGAAAAGCTAACAGAATCATTACACTTGACGGTAAAAATAGCAAGAAGGTCAAATTATATTATTGAACTCAGAAAACTTCGCGTAAACAAAATCACCGGCCGTCGAAACCACAAAGCGGCTCCAAATGAAACCTACCGACTCTCCGCAATGATCCTTAATTCGCAGCTCAATTTAGCATTTCAATTTCGAAGACAAGGGCAATTTTGCTGTTTAAGATGAAGATTAAGCTTATCGAAATGTTTGAACTACACGAAAGAATGCCACGGATGCGATCCGCTGAATATCAAGCGACAATCCCGCTAAAATTTTTCATAATTATACATAATTATGCGAATGTTTAGACAATCAACCAATCAAAATCAATACCCGGTTTTCGGGTAGTGAGTGACGTCACTGGACGGCATTAACGGCCGGTCGATTCAGACGTTGTTGAGAGGAGAAAACGACTCGAAGCAATCGGATGAATTTCAGGCTAACGGCAACTAGGGTTTCCGGGGAAAACTTTTGCGGCCAGCAATGCGTGCAAGATTGGCGTCCCTCGATCTTCTCATATCCTTCTAACAAAATTAGGTTAGATACGATAAAAAGGTTATAAAAGTACTTTCTGTTACCTTTTTTCTTACTCCCGCCATCTTTTTTATTGTATTTGTTAAACAATTACCACATGCACTCTTATGACACCAGAAAAGCTACTGTACCGATCTCGCGGAAGTACTTTTCGACGGAATTTAGTCCACAAGGGAATTCTTGTGCCGTTTTCTTTTGTGCGTGAACATTATCGAAAATATGACCAATCGACACTCATTAAAGCTTTCGAAAATCAGCAAAAGATCTTGCATGCCGAGGACTATCCAAAATCATATGTGGCACAGCGTTTTAAGAGTTTCAACAGTTCGTCTAGGAGGTGAGGGTAAATACGTTTTCGAATTGCAGATTTTTGCAATAAATTTATCGGATTTGCGAATTTGAAAAAAAAAAAAACTGCGAATCGCAAATCAGCTGAAAATTTTAGCCCGATTTTCAGACTGTATCTATCCAGAAGTTTCGTTCAGTAGTTGAATCGTCAATTTTTGGTCGGCTTTTGTCAGCCTGTTGGTGTTTTGTTGACCAGATTTTTCTGTTTCCTTTATTTCTAGGAGTCGGACTATAACCAATTTCTGTTAGAGTTTTTATTTGATTTGAGAGACCATTTCTTGAAACAAAATTTCCTCAATAACATCTATAAACACATCCGCTGAACCACACTAGATTTACCAATTGATCCAGGTACTCATTAAATTAAGAATAAAGATAATACTTCTACTGCTAGCACTACTAATATGATGATGATGATGATAATGATGATGATAGTGATAGTGATAATAATAACAATAAATAATAAATTTTCGAGGGGTTAGTCTAATCCTATGAGCCCGGGGATATTCCCTTATAAAAGCCATATAGGTATATACCGCCCCAAAGCGGGTATGGTTTTTGCGCCGTTTCGGTCTGGAACGGGTGTAGATTTTGCACATTTTTGTCTGGAATCGGGTATGGTTTAAGAGGGCTACGGGAGTGTATGGACGTATTGGTCGTTTCAATTCCAAATGAAAAAAAAGAAAGAGGAATATGCTAATCCGAAATGGATGTTAGGAAATCTTTTTGTTTGAGTACTTGTCTAAAAATGATGACTTAATTTCCACCCATACCAGATCTGAAAAAGGAATTGGATTCAAGAGGCCTGGAGTGAGAACGGTTGTGGAAAATAACATTTTTCAGTCTGAAACTGGGTCAGGACTCGAAGAACCGGGCGGCACACCCACAACAAAAATTCTCGGGAATACCTTCCGGGACAAACAGGAAGTAGATCTTTGAATTAGCCTGGGTAGGGGCATTGTTTTTGGTGACTTTTTCGTTCGCGTTACGTAAAGTACGAACCACTGAACTGATATCAAAGGAGAATGCGATGTGGACGGTGCCAAGAGAAAGAAGACACTGACAAAAAAAGGCACCTAATTGACGTTATAAGTGTTCAAGATATGATCATGCCAGGTGTGGCACAGTCGAGCCCCGCTCTACGGACACCCGCTTAATACGGACAGCTCGTTAATACGGAGAGTTTTTCGTATTTCTAGCCCTTTCATTTTCTCTAAATTCAACCCGCTTAATACGGATCATCTTTTAATAAGGACACTTTCTAATGTCCCCTCAGTGTCCGTATTAATGGGGTTTGACTATATTGGTTTAAGGTCATGCCAGTATACAGACAAATCTCGTTAATACGGACCTTAGAACATCGGATTAACGGAGTATCCGTACCTATTAAGCGGGTTGAATTTAGAGGAGATGTAACGGCTTTCCCTAGGGACAAGGAAACCTGTCCGTAATAACCAGGTGTCCGTATTAGGCGAGTGTCCGTAAAGCGGGGTTCGACTGTACTTGAATTCGATAACGTTCTCAATTATTGGAATTGATCATCATGCATGTACCATGGAGCTGTCGGGGGAATTACTCCAGTTAATGGCAGCCTATAAGGGGAGAATCCACACGAAAAGGGTCCCTTTTTAATCGCTTTTTTTTTCAGAGAAAATTAAAGGATAGGGATTTCACTAGTTAAACAAAAGTTAAAGTACATCAAAGGGTAGGTAAATCTATCATTTCGGTGTCAAAATGACGACGAAACTTCCTGGTTTATTGATTTATTCATATTAAAATGACGGGACAGGGAAGCACTGTTCTAAACTAGGTATTTGAAAGGAGTACCATTTGTCAATAGACTGTCATGAGGGGTACGTTTTCTGTGGACAAAAATGGTATTTAAAAGAACAAGGCGTTGGACTTCGGGTGGAGCACCCCAGTATAAAACTTTGTTGAGTGCCGTTTTCCATCTCATATTCTTTGCCAGGATTGATTTCACTTAGAGATTACTATACACGAACAGAACCTTAACTATAGCGAGACCCAGTGAAGTATGTATCTAATTAACACAACTGCATTTTTTTTAGGCCAAATGTATAAAACGTTAGTCTCATTTAATTAATTTCAGAGCTAATTCTATCTTTTTATTTTAACCAGTATGCCCGGACATGCCTATAACCTGATTCTTATATCACTTCATGGAGAAAAATCTATCCTGTTTATGTTTAATCTTAGATCTTTTTTTGTTATCAAAATTAAGAGAGAAAAATCATCCCCGGTGACGAGTTTTATAAAATATTCAAGTTGTGGCACAAACATATATTGTATAATGTCGATTGCCGAAAGTTTGCTTGCTATTTACTTTGTATAATGATGTACGTGGCTTAAGTTTTATTTTCGATCCTTTGTCTTGGGGTATGGTAATGTATGATAATAAGTTTGTATTGTAAAAATGGTAAGTCAATATATATACTCTATATTTGCAAAACTTCGTCTTGCGTGACCTTTCATATAGATTTGTCCACTTTTCTATCGCGTCACAAACGGAGAGAAATTGACACATCGCGTGCCGTGGTTGGGTAGAAGTTGACCTGAATAAGTACGTCTGGTCTTCAAAATGTCTGCCATCGAATACAACAATTTGCTTTTCAAAATAAGCGAGAGACTGAACGAGCTGAATGTAGGAAGACAATTGCTTGTTATGTGCAGAGGGAAGGTGGCGCCTCGCGATGAAGAAAACATGCAAGATGTCTTCCCGTTGTTTGTAGAGTTGGAGCAGAATGGTTTTCTTGGTGCAGATAAATTGAATATTTTAAAAGATCTTTTAAAAGGCCTTGAAGAATGGTCACTTTTTGGGAATGTCAAATCGTTCGAGAGTAAACGAAAGGAATACAACAGCTTGCTGGAGAGAATTATTCATGTTCTAGACGAGCTCGATTGTCTCGAACAGCTTGTCGCCATTTGCAATGATCGGATACCGGAAGAAAAGCATAGCAG